TTTTTTTTTTTTTTTTTCAAAGGGGTTACAACTGTAACATTGACTTTCATGCCTACAAACATCGGACGAAAACTGGTCACTGTGATAACGATGACGATGAGAACGATGACGGTGACGGTGACGGTGACGTGGAGATGGAAGAAAACCCAAAAAAATTACAAAATTGATTCGCTCTGTTGACGGTGGCTGTCTGAAGAACCGTTTACGGCTCCTGCGACATACACCGAAGACGTATTATGATTAAACTTGAGCATTTTTCTGGGTCACTAATGTCTTCCTATAACCCGTACCCCCTCCCCTACGGCTCCACTCGTCACCCTACCTACGCCTCTCTCCGCCTCCATCTCCCTTCTCTTCTTGACGAACACTAAGGCCCGTTCTTTACGGCTTACAAACTGTTCATCCTCAATCCTGCTGCAGTCCCGGCCATTTACATACGTCCTCCCTACTTTTGCTCCCGTTTTTTAAATTAAAGACCATCAACAACTGCAGTTTCTTCCCTGTTTAGAATATCTTTCTAAATATTGTTGAAATACCTAAAGAGGAAAAAGCCTCCCTCTTTTCACCTCTTTGCTTTTAAAATTTACAACATTCAAGTTTGATAGGATTCCTCTGCACTTCTTCCCACTAAATCCCAGGTTTTGTAGCATTAATGAAATTCTACAAGTTCTGAGTGCGGTATTGTTGTCAACATCACTTGCATACTTTACCTTTTTCTGCTTCTTCTCTGCCCTCTTCCTCAAATACCTCCAGCTTTCTAAAATACTTCCACAAATTATACTTTCCATATATGACAGTGACAGAAGAACTGTAAATTATGAAAGAACAAGCCTTCTGTTACTGTCCGCTTTCACAGTTTTTCAATTTATTTACAACTCTACCATATGACAATTTCTGCTAGAGTTGTTCACAGCGAACAACGTATTTTTTATGTGTAAACTTTCATATACAATACTGGTCAAGGAATTTTTGTCGCTTTTTGTCTTTTATTTATTTTTTTAAACACTAAGGTCATTACAACTCAAAAAAAAAAAAAAAAAAATTTGGTTATTCTGCGCTAAAACCTGATTTATAGAAGAAATGAAATATTTGTTTTGTTTCTGTTGCTCTTTTGTGTACGTCTTTATCCCAATATCATATCTAACCGATCGTTACAACTGATCTTTTGGCAACTTTGATCATTACCATAGAGGAAAAAGTTATTTTGTGGAACGAATTCTTTTATTTCCTTTATTTCATTCCTTTTACAAATCAGGTTTTAGCGCAGAATAACCAAACTGCGTTGAAAAAAGGCGTTAAACAGCAATTATGCAATTTGTTCAGATTAATTTCTTCTCATCTTCCGTTCGTTTCTCCCCCACTTTTTTTTCCTCTTTTTTTTGCGAAGATTTTTGCAACGGGACAATCAATACGGAATGTCGGCAGTAACTTGTGTTCAAAGCGTTAACTGTGATAGTGTTCGAACGATATTGCTCTGCTGACTTGACTCAACCTTAGAGATAAATCCCAAAAGAAGAAACCGGAATATAATGATGTATCTGAGAACGCGAAAACTGGTTGGCCGAGTAATAACACTGGTCAAAGACAAGTTAACACTGCAAAAAGAAAAAAAATCATTTGGTTTACTCTACTTTTAGCAGTTGAGCCACAGCCATCGACCCCAACTCTTGTTTAAATTTATCCTTCTTTAATTTTTTATATAACAAACTTTTGAAAGTTTTCACATCTTGATTTCCAGTTCCCTACACGTTTCCATTATTTGTATGCTACTAACAAACAA